TTTATCTTTTTCCTTATTAATTCCCTTCTAGGTTGTACAACATATGGTTCAGCATGTACGACAATTTCCAGGAGACCAAGAGCTCTCTCGCTATCTTACAACCATAACCGAACCGGTTGGTCCAAATTTAAATATTGTTCTTGTTTCGTTACTCATCATCGGTCTCTTATTCTACAGGATCTTATGCAAAATTGTAAAGACTGCATGGAACTTATTGTGAAAGCAAAGAACGCCCAGGCGGAAGAGGCGAATCGGGCTGCCGAAAGTCTTTTGGCGCTTCTGGCCGAGGAGGTTTGTACTGCAATAAGAATCACCAAATAATCACAAATATGATAATGGTGCATTATCGTTAGATTGCTTTTCCTACTAATATTTTTGAGCTAGTTTGTTCATAGCGTTGTGTCATAAACCAGCTGAGACTACATTTTTCATAGTCAATACACACTGCAGAAGTAAGCGTATGTCATACTTTTCTGGACAATCTTTGGATCTACGGTGGTCTCTAATCTGACTTTTTTCTTCAGAGGAGCTGAATTTCGTACAAATACTACTTCATCCGCTCATTTTGCCCTTTTCCGAAAATATGTTCACAGCTCGTGACTTTCCAGCAGCTCATTGTGCCAAAGGGTGCCCGCAATTATTTGCGCGAAGTTGCAGCTGTCGCATGTGAATATAACAGGATGCCACTAATGAAGCTCATATGTAACCCAAATCATTCTCCATAATAAGCATCAAGTATCGGAAGCGAAATTCAAGCGGATCATACAGTATGGGTGGGCTTGTTGCCTTTGCAATTCATTTCAATATTCAAATTTCTTTAGATATTTTAGCTAGTTATAACACAGGCTGTAGTCTCTGCTACCAAATCTTGAAGAAATTTTTTTTTGGAAGCAATTTGGATAAAAGAAAAAGAGGGAGAAAAGTGTAATCCACGTGCCAATGAATAGTAACTTTGTTTCAAAACTTCGCCTCAGTAAGCAGGCAGTGTTCATTTTCTGCAACTTCTTATTTGGCAATTCCAGATCATAGATTTTAGGATATAAGGTTGATTAATCTCTCAGTCAATTAAATTGTTTGACAGATTTAAGCCGTTTAATAAAAATGCTCCACTGGCACGCAGTCCATATATAGTTATATTCTAATTCTATAGATATAGTTAACTTCGTAATTCTTCAGTACATTGCGATGTTCCTTGTGATCGAAATTTATACTTTTTATAGAAATCCATCTCGAATGGCGATCAGATTTGGCGCCAGTAGTTTGTGTGATCCTGTTTTTGTAAAGTTTTCTACTTTTAGGAAGAAGCTGCACGCTCAAAAAAGCAGGCAAAATTGCGCAAGAAGGAAAAGAAAAAGGAAAAGAAAGCGAAGAAGCAAGATGGAAATGAAAAGGAGCGCGCTGTAATTGTTCAAACTGGGACTCCAACACGCTCAGAGGACTCACCTCCCAACAGTAGAACTAAAGAGGAGAGCGAGGTAAATAATGGAGAAAACTTTTGTCACTCTCCACTTGTTTTCATCGCGCAGCAAGTAGCGCGCTTTCGAAGAGTTTTGACCTTCATCATAGGTATGTTCAAGAAGAATATCCTGTAAATATTTAATATCTAAATAAAATAACTGCCATTAACAACATCCGCTACTAGCTGATTGTATTAATAGAAGTGAGAAAAGCTTTAGATTTTGCTAAATGCTTAGAATAAAGTGCTTGACTGCGGACATACAATGTGCTCACTTTTAGGAGTACTCGGATGATGAGTCAGATTCCCTGGCGGCAAAAAAGGAGCGATCGTCAGCGCCTTCAGATTCCATGGTAAGTAGTCAGGTCTTCTGTTTGATGTGTTCTTAGACTTACGGCCATCCGATACTGTTCGCTATCGTCATTGTTAGTAATTTACAGTGTAGGAAGAGGTCAAGACAACCCTGATTATTAAATGCTTGTTGATGTAAATCATTTGTAAGGCTAACTC